AGGAGCATTGTGCAAATATGGATGAAAGCGGAATGCCTTTTGCTTCTACTTTCTAAAATTGACGCATATTGATTAGTTACAACAAACATCTTAGTTTGTCGCTAGGAAATGGAAAGAAGTACTTTAAAAGTTAAGGTTGAAAAAAATTAGTTCTACAAACCAGTTCCTCACTTTTCTTCATTCCTGAAGAAACAAGTTTAAGTGGAGGAAATGATTGTAAGCAAAGGATTGATCAACAACGAGAGGCAAGCATAAGTATTTTTTCCCACTCAAACAGATAAATCAATCTGCGTTTCAGAACAGTTTCTAATGCTACACTACAGTTTTTTGCAGCTGTGACTTGATGGTAAACGAAAAATTAATAATTCTGCTTGTGTGCCCAAAACTTTATGGGATTTAACATAGTACACAATATCTTCACTATCAATCAATACTAAGGGGTAAAATCAATAAGGATCTTCAATGTTAGTCATCAATCAATACTCGTTAAAAAGGCATACATACGTGACACTCCCCACTTTTTGTAATTTGTTCACGATGGCTATTTGTCACATTTTAGGTCTAATATTACATCTATTAAGGTTCTATCATAGAATTGAAAAATTCTAGTCGAACGGTCTTAGTTATTTCGTTTGCGGATTTATTATAAGAAACAAACTAGAATTAATTGATGATTACGAAGAATTGGTACTAATAATTGCTAAGACATGATTAGAATTGATTTAGAACACGATTTTTTTGCGAATCAGAGCAATAGTAAATTTAAAGTGCGCATATGGGTGCTCAGTTCCTATTTAAATCTGTTTGATGTGGGGAAATCCCTAAATGCTTGAATGGTGCAATAAAATTACGCACTGTGTCACGTGCAGCGTTTCATTTCAATTTACTGATACTTTATGGCTTTTTTTGCAAATGTTAGATAACTCTACAAGATGACATTGCGCCAAGAAGCAATTGCAACAGCAACAAGGGTGTGTCATATTTATACAACACAATCCCTGAAGATTTCAGGAATGTTGAAAAGTATTTTCATAGGTTAAGTAATTCCTGAATTTATACCA